TTTATGGGGTGTGGGATTTCCAAGTGGCCTTTGTTTTCTTCTTTATCCTTTCCTCGATTTATTTTTCACAACGGCAAGTTTAACTTTTACATACAAAAAAAAAAATCTTAAAGGAAGAAAGAAAGAAGAAGAGGAAGGCAAAGAAGAGTTGTCCATTGTTATTGTCACCTCCCATGACAGTCACCAGCTCTCCAGGACAGCAGCAGCAAAATGGAAGATACTTTGGCTAAAGGTTCACCTTCACGGCATCCAACATCCTGTCAAATGATGAAACAAAAAGCTGAATTTATGGCTTGCAAAGCAAGGGAAAGTTGTCCTTCTCAGGTATAGTATCTCTGAGCAAAGCAGAGAGCTGATCTTATGAAGGGTTTGGAGCACAGAGTTCTACTTTCAGCAGAGTAAGCATTTAGGGATAGGCTGAGCTTTAGCTATGAACCTGTAGCTACTGGAGTTGTGTTGGTTGACTGACTTCCAGAAGCCTGGGGCTGCCACTGATTGGCGGCTCCCAGAATTTTGTTTACTGATGCAAAATTGACATTAATTGGTTGGGACAGGTATAAAACTTGTTCTAGTGGTTACTTTCTGCCATGGCCAAAGACCAAGCAGTCCTTGCCCAGGAGAAGAGGAATACTTTATCCTCCATACTCCCTTTCTGACCTCCTGTAGCCAGAGGGATAGGGATCTTCGACACTGCATCACTATTGCTAATTGCACTTGAAGTGAGGTTTTATTTCCAGAGGCTGTCTTAATTCCTGTTGCTGCTACAACAAAATACCTGAGACTGGGTAATTTATTTCTCACAGTTCTAGAGGCTGTGAAGTCCAAAGTCAAGGTGCTGGCAGGTTCCCTTGCCTGGTGAGGGCTGCATCCTCTGGAGGAAACACTGTGTCCTCATATGGACAAAGGCAGACAGGCGAGAGGGACAGATTCCCACCGTCAAGCCCTTTCATAAACTCACCTAATCTCACTCAAGAGGGAGGAGCCCTCATGGCCTAATCGTCTCTTAAAGGCCTCGCCTCTTAATACCAGCCCATTGGCCATTAAATTTCAGCATCCGAATTTTGGAAAGACTCCTTTAAACCATAGCAGAGGCCTAGTTCTCAGCCTGTGTATCAGTCAGCATGATTTCATCCCATTTTTGCCTTTGTATCATTGTTGAATCATTTGTCAGGACAGTGGCTGTACAGAAGCATTTAAGATTTTGGACAACAGACATCGATTATGAGACAAATCAAAATAACCAAAAGGATTGTAAGAGGGGACTGGGAGGCACTCCAGAACCATGACCCAGTATTTTCCAGCCCTGGCCAATAAAGTCAGTCCCACAACTGCCTCTCTTTGTAGCCAAGTTGCCTTTTCTTTCAGTTTAGACATAAATTTTTCCATCTCGCCTGCGAGATCAACAATCCAAGTACAACAAAGTGTGTTAGCAATGGCATGGACAACTTTCACTTAAAAAATGTTAAAAGCTATTCTGTTATCTGTAACATTGTGGGCTACGGATGCCAGCCTGGTTTTGTGTGCCTCCAAAGCATGGGCTGTGTTATGTCAGTCAATGTGAGGGACGAGTATTTGATGACCACCTCAAGTTACTCAACCACTACGGATGGGACCACTGCACCAGGAGTCTTTTTTTCCTTTTATCTGCTACACTTTCAGGGAGGATTTTGCCCTTGAAAATTCCTTGTAAGGAATTATAGTTCTCTGAGGAAGTTGGGACTCACACACTCGAAATGATCTAACTATTAGCCCCGCAGAACTATTAGCTGTGGTCCTTGGTTAGCATGGAAGAGCCTGGTTTCTATGCAGGAAAAGAATGTAGGAGCTGCACAAGAGAGTGATCTTTTGGGGAGCTCTACGTATATTGTCTCAGTGTCGTGATAAAATCTCTGCTACAATCCAAGAATACTTACATCTCCTTCTTCCCATAGAAGAATATTTACCTTAATTTATGTGTTGGTAAGTTCAATGCAATGTAGCTTTATACCATGCTCAATTTGTTGTGTGCCTGAATATCTTTAACTTTTGATCATTTAGAGGAATAACTCATGGTTTCAAATATTTGACACTCTTTTGGGATTTGATTTGTAGTATTTCTACCAAGAAAACCAGCAACGATGGTTAGCAGTTGGACCAATTTTATCAATTTGAGTCATGGTGTTTACATAAATATATTAATAGTTGTAGCAACTCTTTCTTGAAAATTTATCAATAGATATCTAACATTTCTTAAGGCTTTATGTTGATATTCTTGAATGAAAATCATTAGCAGCAGATTCAGCCACTATTTGGGTTTTCTAGAACATGGTATGGGAAGATACATCCAGTTCTTCACATGGGCTGTGCTAGCTATAGGTTTGGAAGAGATGCATTAGAGAATTACATTGGAGATTGTCTCTAGTAAAGCCTAGCAAGTTATCAGTTAGTGGTAACAGAAAAATAAGCTAATACAGAAGTGTATGATCATAAGCTATTACAGAGGAAAACTATTACCAAAAGAATAAAGAGCAAAGGTATGCCAAGTGTGACAATCAATGGTTAACACATCTAGGAGAATCTTGTTCTGATGGTCTTGGGTGGAAACTGTCTACTTCCAAGGATTTTCCCGTCAGTAGTTGACTTCCAAGGACCATGTGCTTCTGGAGGTTCTCTGAAGAACTAGGTTTAAGATTGATAACGGATGCCACTCTCCAAATCTTGTCATTTAAGCATGGGTAATGATATTGTTTTACTTGGGAAATATGTTTTCAAGGATCAATTCTTTGTGATTTGATTTCTTTACTGGAAGCCAAGAGTATCTGAAAAGAAACTTTCCCCAAAGGTTCAAAGACAGTATTTCTCAAATATCTTTTGCCAAACATCAAGTCACTCTTTCTAAGCCACATAGAGTTGATTAGATAATTGGCTAGGAAATGAAATCTGTAACTGTTGATGAAAGTCTCTTACAATATTTATCTATATCAGCTTGTGAAGGATTAAAATCAAGTATGGATAGAGATATTACCAGTCCCATGGGAATGCCTTTGACCAGGTCATAGAGAAACAATTCACGACTTTCTTAGGAAAGACTAGGCTAAAGGTCGCTGATAGTTTAGGTCATTTTACCTTGAATATTCTATTTGTTCCTTTTACTTTTCCAATGACTTAATGATGATAAGGACAGTGAAGTTCCAAAGTAAGAAGCAAAGCCTGCCATAATTCACAAATAACTGGCCTAGTAAAATGTGTCCCTATCACTGGATAAATTGGAATTCTCCAGGTAGGGGACATAAAATCTGATAGCTTTTTAGCCAGGGTGAGTTCTGTGGCTTTTTGACAGAAGAATGCTTCTGCGTATTTTCCTCATGCCCACAAATGTGTGTACTAACAGATATTCAAAACCCATGAAGGGATAAAACTGTAGGAAATCCATTTGGAGATGTTCAGTTGACCTCTTAGGATGTGGTTCTAGTCCATGCTCCTCATGCCCTATTTTTCCATGTTTATATTGGTTACAGGAATAACATGAGCTGTCCATATCCTCTGCTCTCCTAGAAAAATGTCTTCATCGATATTTGTTTTATATCATAGACACAATTTGTCCCTACCATGATGGGTTGTCTAATGGAGAATCTTGATAAGTCTGGATTTGCAGTTATCTGACATTATCAGTGGCCACTCTGGCTTTGCCAGATTATATCCTCATGGATATTATAATCCAATTGTTTCCAGTGTGGCTGTTCAGAATTGCAGGTATTTTTTGTGCATTTATGATGAACTTCTTTAACATCTTCATGAATTTTTCTTTTCTTAAGAAACCTTTGCATAAGGACTTTGGTCAGAGCAGCCTATATAGCATACTGATCTCTAGAGTATTTTTTCTACATTTTACAGTCTACGTTGTGCTGTAGGCTTCTACCTTTCAGACAGCAATTTCTTTAGATAGCATGAAAGTATCCAATAATTCATATACTTAGTAACCATTTGCATAGGGGCACATGAGGAGGGTAAGAAAGTTTTTTGTTTCCATAGTATTATTATGTCCAAATATACATTGCCTATCAGTGTATATGTTTACCCTTTTAACTTTCAGCAACTTGACATGCCCTAGCGAGGGCCAGATTTTTGGCCACTTGATAACAGATACTCCCATTTAACAACAAAATAATGTGGCAACTCTCTGTATTTCTGGTAAACTCCTGAATGATTTTGAAAAAAGTTTTCTTATTTTCTAAGGTAAGTGGTTAAAGATCACTGCTACTGATTGTTTAAAAATATTGTTCATAATAACTACATTTTGTTTATATGACTATGACTTATGTTCATGTTTTGCCTCACCTAACGATTATTCTTGACTTAGTCTTTCCTTTTGCTATAAAAGACATTACAAGAATAAAGCTTAATAAGAATATGAGAATTAAATGATGGACTGTACAAATGTTAACTTTATGATCATAAAGGTTATATTGTAGTTACATAGAATTTTCTGACTTGTACGAATACCCACTAAAGAAATCAGGAGTGATAGTATAATGTCAGCAATTCATTCTCAAATGGTTTGGGGATAAAAGTTCTTTGTACTAAAACGTGGAACTTTTCTCTAATTTTAAGACTCTTTCCAAAAAATTAATCAAAAATAAATAAATAAATAAAAAACAAACAAACAAAAAGAAAGAAAAGGTGAAAAGCCTTAGGCGAGCCTTATTTTTCCATGAGGAAAGATCTTATATAAATCAGTGCTTAAAATTAAAATTATGGAAGTTCGATGGCACTTTAACAATTGTAATACGTTTAAACATTTACAATGACTACAGTACCAGTACACCAAAATAATGTCTGTATAAAGATCACTATATAGAATGACAAAATTTAAAAAATACAAATAAGCTGTCAATTAATGCCACTAAAGTATTAATGACAACTTGGTTGTTTGGCTATTTAAACAGCTGACATTTGGACAGTTTGAATATATAAAACTACCTAATATTGGTTTTCATTTGAAAGATCCACTTAAAAGTCTTTCAGATCATATAATTTTTCTTTAAAATCTGTACATATTCTCGTGATGCTTTCCAAACTAGATCTTGATTTAGATTTGATTCATCAGTAGATCCTACAGGGGAAGCTATATAGGATTCAGTTTCCAATTCAGCAGCAGCTAAAAGAAAAAAGAAAGAATTATATTCTTTATCTAAGATATTTCATAAATAATGAAGTGGAAGTCAATAAAAAAGAGTTGAGAACTTTATCAGTGTTAGTAAGAATGAAAAATATGTGTGCACAACTACAATGCAAAATTACTATTAAATATAATGTGCCCCATAGTTGTACACTGAGTAAAATATCATTGTGGTTAAGACACCATGACAGGTATAAAACAGGGCACTACTGGAACACACAGAAGGGCCATCTATTCCAGTTTTGTGTCAATATTGTAAGCTTTTTGGTGGAGGCAATATGTAGGTTGATACCTGGAGGAAAAGGAACAAGTGTGGTGCAGGGAGTTAGCTACACTCCCCGCAAAATCGGGTCCCTTTGGCAGGGGTCATCACAAGGGACATGGAAATAATAGAAATAGTAAATAGACAACGTAGACATAAAAGAAGACACAGAGACGAAAGTATAGTTTTAAAAGATGGGGGACTCAGGGGGTCCTCCAGCATTCCCGTGAGCTGTGAGGCCCTAAGCGAAGTCCTGCATCAGTATTTATTGGTATAGAAATCAGTTGCCAGTGGTAACAGATTACATAATAACAGGTAGTTCGTTTAGGTTTAAAGTCTCCCCAAAAGCTTCTAGAGATCCCTAAATTAACTCTATCTACGTGAGCAAATGGTTACAAAATCTTTCTAAGATAAACTTCTAAGTCCTAAGATAAAATTATCACTTAGCAGAAAGGCTAAACAGAAATATAGTGGCTCTGTATTTCTTTATCCAGTTTCTTGTTGATTGAGACAAGTAGTCAGGAGTGAGGCAGTTTAACTGTCCCTTAGGCCAATTGTCTCTAGCTGCAGGTGTCTGTTGGGCGGGCCTTCTCTGATCAGTTCTCAACCTGTGACCACATACCAAGCCTTGTCATACAGAGGCATCAGGCAGGCCTCCAGGTCTGAGAGATGGGCGTCGCCTTAAGAAAAGCTCCTGACTGATGAGATGCCCTCCTGAGGCAAGGCAGCTTTTGATCTGTGAACTAGCTGTTCACATATTCCTTCAAGGCAAAGCCCTGCAAAACTCCTGAAATCTTTTATGTCTCTTTACAAGCCAGCAGTGTGGCAGATGGAGGGAAGAAGCAAGTGCAAACAGCTGGAGGTGAAGAAGAACACTGGGGAATTCTAAGTGGTCTAGTTCAGCCAGACTAGAGCAAAGGGGCAGAGTACAGTCAGTGGCAGGAGACAAGGCTGAGTAACTGGACAAGAACCAAATTGACATGGGTGTTTTTATTCCATGCTAAGGAATCTGGAACTTTTCCTGAGGGAAAAAGTAAACCAAAGACAAAGTAAATGACTGGAGATTTGTCAAGTGACTGCTTATCAACTGCAAGTGCTCCACTAAATATTACTAGATAAGTCTGAGGTCTTCTGGCCTTAAATTACTACCATAAAACTAAGAAGTTGATGATGCCTTTGTTTTCTGAGAATAGTGTCGGTGTACTGGCTCCATAGGGATGGCACAAGTGAAGAAAGTGTAGAGCCAGAAATAAAGAGATGCGTAGGCTTCTTGAGATTTCTTTAAAACTGTGAAACATGATGAATTAATGAGGCATAAGTATACTCTTCATGATGAATGTTTATGTTTTCACATCCTTCATAAGATGTAAGAAAAAATATTTAACGTAGTATCTGTTTACCAAACAATGGAAAAAAGGGATGCCATTTGTTACTCACAGTTTATTGGATAAATCAATTAATCTAAATTTAAATCATATATTTTGGCAACATACCTTCTTCTAGTTCTCTAGTTATGTTTTTTTCCAACTCCTGCTGCATCTGAAATACATCAAATATTATTTATAATGGTTAAGTTAAACAAAAGACATTATCAGGGAATGATATATCACTTACAAAATGTGACCTTCAATACTTTTAGAGACTAGAACTTGAGGATTGCTTAAATAGAAAAATGATCACATAAATAAAATTCTTATTTATTTTGAGTTTAGATAATAGAGAATACATGTTATAATGCTGTTTATATCAATCTGATAAAAAGTACAATTAATATTGATCTATTGAATATACATCATTTCAGAAGGGTGATATTTTCTCTTATTAGTACAAATGTTAAACAATTCAAGTCATGTTTTCCAATGAATGTCATTACTTAGCAAAACTCTGCCCTTTATAAAAGTTTAATCAGGGCCGGGCGCGGTGGCTCACGCCTGTAATCCTAGCTCTCTGGGAGGCCGAGGCGGGCGGATTGTTTGAGCTCAGGAGTTCGAGACCAGCCTGAGCAAGAGCGAGATCCCGTCTCTACTAAAAATAGAAAGAAATTAATTGGACAACTAAAAATATACAGAAAAAATTAGCCGGGCATGGTGGCGCATGCCTGTAGTCCCAGCTACCCAGGAGGCTGAGACAGGAGGATCACTTGAGCCCAGGAGTCTGAGGTTGCTGTGAGCTAGGCTGACGCCACGGCACTCACTCTAGCCCGGGCAAAAAGAGTGAGACTCTGTCTCAAAAAAAAAAAAAGTTTAATCAGTTTTTTTCACTTTAATGGATTTTTTCTTAAAATTAAGATTTCATTCTCCACTTTCATAAAATGAAGATTTTAAAGCATGTACTATTGCTATTAACTTTTCAGCACGGAATCTTAAATATATACATGCAGAAAATGCTACTGTCATAATGTCATGTAAAAATTCTACTGGCAGAAAAGTAAAAATATTATGCTATCTGTATGATTAACATTTCTTTATTCATATAGACACAAATACTTCGAAAAGTTTATTTGAAAAAAAGGATAAATATAGATTAGAAACAGTTTTCAAACTTAGTTTCTTTCATTCATGACTTTCTAGAATTAGAAGCAAGGAAACAATATATAGCCTTTAATTCTAACTTGGTTTCTTTTCAGAAATCAGTACCAATTATTTGAAACATCTAATTATAGTTATCTCCCTCTCACAGGCGTGATCCCGCCTCAAACTGCTGGGCTCAAGTGATCCTCCTGCCTCAGCCTCCCTAGTAGCTGAAACTACAGGCACGCGCGCCACTATGCCCAGCTTTTAAAACTTTTCCCCAGTCAAAAAATTGTCAAATGTTAGACAAATATCTTAAACTGGGTCAAGAAGAGTTGAATTATTTTTTCCTTACCAACTCTACAATTGATACAGGTTGTCACTGCTGGATTCATTCTGAGATCCCCAGAAATGGATTCTTACTATGAGTGAAATTACATGGTTGGACTGGAAGTGCCTGTTATGCCTCCAGGGAAGACAGGGACCGTGTGCGGCTTTACATGGAATTCTGGGTAAGAAGAATATAATTGATTCTATTTGATACTCATTGCTATTTAATCATGCTTGATATCATTGCCATCTTAGTCATAAATCATTCAAATGATGACAAGATAGAGGGACATAAATGAACTTCATTTTAAAAATTTAAATATCTTCTTGATTTAACTATTTAAAAACTGCTGTACAATTGCCCAGCAATAGACAAAGTTTATAAAAATTGAGACAAAAATGGTGCAAGTACAATAGCAATTAAGGATGTACTCTTATGTAAGAAAATGACAAAACTTTTAACTTAAAAAGAAACATTAACTTCTTTAGTGTTACAGGTTTATTTAATTCACAAAAAGTATTTAAGGCTGGGCATGGAAGCTCACACCTGGGATCCTAGCATTTTGGGAGACAGAGGCGGGAGGATAGCTTGAGGCTCGTTCAAGACAAGCATAAGCAACAGTAAGATCTCATTTCTACAAAAAAAAAAAAAAAAAAATAGAAAAGTTAGCCGGGCATGGTGGTGTGCACCTGTGGTCCCAGCTATTCGGGAGGATTGCTTGGGCCCAGGAGTCTGAGGTTGCAGTGAGCTGTGATGACACCACTGCACTCTAGCCTGGGCAACAGAGAAGACCCTGTCACAACAACAAAAAAAAAAGTATTTATTTTGGATTTCTTTAAATAATAAACATTCATATGTGTTTATTACTTAATTTAAAATTTAAAAAGCTGGGGATGGTGCTTTGGTGATCTCCTTAAGTGTTTGGATGCCGATCATTGACTTATGATTAGGGGTGGAAAACTTAGGATGGTGCAGGAAAATTTTAAAAGTGTTATGAACCACAGCCAAACCAAAATCAATTAAAAATTAAGTCAAAGTATCTCTTTAGTTATTAGGCAATAATATTTGATTTCTAATAACTTAAATGCAGCTTTCAAAGAAATTTAAAATGTGTCCATTTTGTTACATTTATTGAATAAAGTTAACAAATGGGTATCTCTTGAAAATGACAGCTGCAGGGACTTACAGAAAACTGTAAAACTTCTGTTTCCTTTCTTTATTAACAGATAACTACAACCTTTACTTAACATGCATAAGTCAATTAAACAACTCAGTATCTCACCAAATTAAAAACAAAAATTATATTAGAAACATGAAACTCAAAGGAAGAAAGGTAACATAACTAACCTTGGTCAAGTAGTTCTCCATGCTGTTATTTGAAGTCCGTGGGCTTGAGGTAGGGATCACTAAGTTTTCTCTTGGAATAAGTTTTCTGTTGAGAACTAAACCATTATTAAGATTTCCAACACAAGGTGACTCTAGGACTGGCCTCGTGGCAAGAGTGGTGAATAAAGATCTGGTCTGCTGTTTCTCCACAAGCAGTTTGGTACTGACCTCTGCTAGCTTCTCATTAGTTCTATGAACATTGCAAAAGACAAATGCTTAGTATTTCTTTTTTCTCTAAATGATTCCTAAATGACTTGCATTTTTAAAAAAGTTTCCATAAGAGTAAACAAAATTTTCCATTAAGTCATTTTTTTTTAAATACTGAAAATGTGTCAGAGCAAACCTACTGTATGCAATTATAATTTAAAAACTGTTCTAAAGAAGTGCCTGTATTTCTAGGGGGATTTCTAACAAATGAAGTAATTCAAACAAAGTGGGAAGAGAAGAGAAATGGCTATCAATGATGTATGAATTAACAGGTAACCCTTACTGCCTTCTGGAATGGCTCTTCTTCTAAGATTCTTAAGGATGCCATTAGAAATACTTAGGATTAACTATATGCAATGATTAATATGTTAATTTGCTTGACTATAATACTATTTCATTACATATAAATATATCAAAACATCATGTTGTACTCCTTAAGTATATGTAATAAAAAATTAAAATTAAAAAAAACTAAAAATACTTTTATTTAATAAACCAGTTCAGGGATTTTTTAAAAAACCATCCCTCAAAGACATTTTCATCACCCTTGTACATTTCACCCATTATCTGGGAAAAATTGGGCATTTGGCACTGAGGATTAATTCAGAGCAATAACTTCTAGGGGAGAATGAGATAGCTGAGATGGTGATAAAAAAAAAGAGCTAAAAACCAGCTCCAAAGGTAATTAGCTCCTAACACTGCTACTCAAGCATGAGAGGTGGGATCTGCCATTTCTATTTTCCACACATCCCCTCAGCCTGTCCAAGGTATTATATTTAACAACTTTGAGAATTGTACTTCCCTTCATCCCTACGTTAATCATTCCCTATTTTACAAGTGTGCCTTTATGTGGAGTGGAAACACTATAAAGGATAGTTTGTCTCAAGGCGCCCTCTAGTGGCAATACCAAAGATCACAATCAAGGAAAGTTATTTACTAAGTGCCAGAACGTGGAAGAGTACCAGTGGTACTTGACTGGGTCTAAGTTGTAATCTTCCAAGAAATAGTTAAACTCATTAATATTTCCATTTAGGGGAATGCTATAACAACATCACTGTTTAAACTATAAAGCTTCAAAAATCCCTAGTTTAAATATTAATAGATCAGGCTAACTACATGAGGCTGTTCAGGGGGGAAAAAGCCATATAAAATGAAAAAAACAGCGAGATGAAAAACTGTCCTAGACTAACATTTTAAAGGTAAGTTCATTTACTAGCATCATTTTCCAAAATTATATTATCTAGTTAGGTTTCACTTCCCACCAGTCTCATGAATCTGTCTCACTAAAAATTAGGCTTTCAAGGCAAATTAATGAGCTTAATTTATTTTCTATGATTCTATGTTTTGACTTACTTGTTTAGTTTGGTTGCCAATGATTTTCTAAATTTTAGTTCTTCTAGATAGAGTTGCTTGTATTTTTCCAACTCCATTTTATTAAAGTCTTCTTGAGAAGTTTTCATTTTGGAGAGTTCAGATTCTAAATCTTTAATTCTGAGTTCCATCTGACTTCTTATTGAAGCAATATGATTCTCTCTTAACTGCTCTAAGTTTTCTTGAGATGCTGCTTGTGTCTTAAACAAATTAAAAGGATACATTTTTAAAGTAACCATAACCTGAATTTGCATTATTTGTTTCCTTTAGTTTTGAGACAGTGATTCAGAGAACAATTTTAAATAGGTGAAAAAAGTGGAAGTTCAAAATATTTATCATTAATATCAAGTAAATTGATAATTTAACTCAGAATTAAATCTGAATTATAAAAAAATTTCAATGATTCTTAATGTTAGTACTCAGGTAACCTGATAATTCAAACACTTAATAGAATCAATTTAAAATTTTATAAACTGAACAATGTAACTTAAGAACATTCAAGGGTACACTATAATTTCTAAATCACAATTTTTTCTTTTCCTAATAGTCTTGTTTTATACCGACTGGTCTTCATAATCAAATGATTCTCTAATGATAATCATTATTCTGAAAGATCAATTTAGTTGTAATAATGATGGAAACTGAAATATTTAAAGGGAGAAACAGATGCCACCTTCTAAAAATCTACAAAACAAATTGCTATAAGTAAACACATACCATGTGCATATCCAAAATATAATTTACAGTGAAATGAATGGAAACACATTACAGATAAATAAACTAACCTGTAAAAATAGATTGACTTCTTTTAATTTTTCTACTATATCCTGTCTTGCTCTTTCTTCAATCTCCCGTTTATACTGTTCTACTTGACCGAGTTCTACCATATTTATTTCTATATGACTTTTGAGGTTTACTACTTCTTGTTCCAACTTCGTTTTATTCTTCTGTAGTTTTTCACATTTCTTCTGTATTGTTTTCATAGATGATAACTCCTGTCGAAGAGTTTGATTCTTTGTATCCAGATGTAGACATTTTGAAGATGCAGTTTCCAGTTCTGCTGTAAGATCATCAATCTGCATGAATAAAATAATACAATTTGATAATGAAGGAAGTAGGCTGAGAACAGTCTAACACAAAACCAATAACAAATTTAGAAATATATTCAGTTGTGATAAAATGTTATCTATACTATAATAGATTCTTCAAATATCGATGGACCCTTAAATTACTGAGAAAATAAGAACAAGGTTAAAGCCACCAGGAGTCACAAAAATATATTCTTAACTTTCATCATCTTTGCCACCAACATTTGCACTTGATCTTAGACTTTTATTTTGCTATGATTATTTCACGTCTTTCCTCCTTAAAATGTCTCTAAGTCACCTCTTAGTAAAACCTCTCTTGCCCCTTACCCGCAGTGTGACTCCCCATCATTTCTAAAGAAGTTTTAGGGACATCCTATTCAGTTATTTAGGCCTGAGTCAATACGTGGCTCCCAGAATAAGACTCTGAAAATAAGACTATAATTAATGAAGACTGTTAATATGGATTCTAAAGCCATAAGCCTTTTCCTGAATTGCAAATGTTTTATGCTAATTTGAATTGCATTCCAAGGAATAATGATTCTCAAGGTTATGGAGCAATCACGTCTCCCAGTATAAATGTTTAGTGACATGATCCATACTTTTTTAAAAAAACTAAAATGCCTTAATTCAATAGCACTATCTTATAGTCCTTTGCTATTTTACACAAAATAAGAGAGCGCACTAAACAACAACAAAAACTTGTTGGAATTTCAATGGTACTGAGTTGGAAAAAACTACTTCCTTTTAGATGCAATGATTATTTGATTTTTTAAAAAGTGAGTGTGGTAGTGGTTTTAAACATGTCTATAAATTGGTATTTCTCCCATGAAATAACTGGTTTCTACTGAATATAATATGATGGAACTGCTGTGTGACTTCCAAAGCTAGGTTAGATAATGTTAGAAAATGATACAGCTTCCACCTGACTCTCTCTCTAGGGAAGCTTGCCCTTAGAATCTGGCCACCACAGTGGGAGGACGCCCAAGCCACATGGTGAATCCTCATGTAGGTGTTCCTGCTGACTGCCCCAGCTAGAGTCCCAGCTAAAAGCCAGCTTCAACTGCAAACATGTGATTCTAGTCCCCAGCTTCAAGTCACCCCAGCTGATGCCAGCAGAGAAAAATGAGCTGGCCCCACTGAGACTTGCCGAAAACTGCAGATTGTAAACAAAATAAATGTTGTTGTGAGATACTGAACTTCATAGAGCAATGGATAACTGGTACAGATACTAACATCAATACAGATACTACGATTAAAAAAAAAAAAATCTAAAACACGTAGGATGCCCTTGTTCCAGGAGGTTGATGAGAGCTGAAAGGAACTAGAGAAGAATAAGAATGAAAATCAAGGGTGGGTGTGGTGGCTCGCACCTATAATGCTAGCACTGTGGGAGGCCAAGGCAGGAGGATTGCTTGAGCTCAGGAGTTCGAGACCAGCTTGAGCACGAGTGAGATCCCAGGGCTACTAAAAATGGAAAAATTAGCTGGGTGTTGTGGCACGCCCCTGTAGTCCCAGCTACTCGGGAGGCTGAGGCGGGAGGATCCCTTGAGCCCAGGAGTTTGAGGTTGCAGCGAGCTATTATGACACCACTGTACTCTTCCCAGGGCAACAGAGCAAGACTCTTGCTTAATAATATAAAAAAAAAAAAGACAGAATGAAAATCAAAAGGGCTTCAAAGAGACTGTTACTAGAAGCCTGATGGCCCTTGAAGATTTCAACAAGAAGAGTCTCAAGGCCAGAAAATGATACTGAAATTTCATGAAAATGAAAATGACATTGGAGGAAAGGGCACTGTTGCTATATAGCAGCTGAAAACAAAGTCAATGTGAAAGGTAAGTTCAAGAAAGACTATTAAATATAAAGGAAGCAGGACTTCCTGGGTTCGGATATCTGTTTCCTGTTTGTAGCTTCCTCGTGTCAAACTGCCAAATGCAGGTGGTCTCCGACATAACAATTTTCCAACTTCACGATGGCACAAAAGCCACAAATGTTGAGTGCACTCCTTGACTTACGATGGTGTTAAGTCTGGACAAGCCCATCATAAATTGAAAATATTGTATGTTGAAACACACTTCCAACATTTTCACCTAGGACGGTTTATCAGGACGTAACCCCACTGTAAGTGGAGGAGAATCTGTATTACTAAAATCAATGGCCTCTGGGAGAAAATCAAATGGCTGCCAGGAAAACATGCTCTAGAGATGAAGCCAAGATCATGACTGTAAACTCCTTTGTTAAGACCTCAGAAAGATTTACCATGGTGCCTCAAATTCCCTTAAGGATTTTAAGGGCATAAGAATCTTCTTTTTAATTTAATTTTTTTTGGTAGAGACAGGGTCTTGCTATGTTGCCCAGGCTGATTATTCTTTGTTGTTAGTATACCCTGTTTATTGCTTATAATTTATATGTAAACCGATGTGCTAGAGTATCTCATACTTTTTAATAGCTACATGAGATTTCACTATTCCATTGTGTAAATGTATCATTTATTTTATTTTTTTTAGAGACGGAGTCTCACCCAGTCACCCAGGCTGGAGAACAGTGGGATGATCATAGCTCACTGTGGCCTCGAACTCCTAGGCTCAAGCAATCCTCTTGCCTCGGCATCCCAAGTAGCTGGGACTACAGCCATGTGCCTCCATGCCCTGCTAATTTTTCTTATTTTTTGTAGAGGCGGTGTCTCACTATGTTTCTCAGGCTGGTCTCAAACTCTTGGCCTCAAGCAAGCCTCCTGTCTCAGCCTCCCAAAGTGCTGGGATTACAGGTGTGAGCCACCGTGTCTGGCCCTGATACAAGAATCTTAAAGGCACTATCCTAGTACAGCTTCACAGGAAGCCCAAAGTGAAGAGCTTATCTCAAAACGATTTCTGAAAGGGGCTTTTCTAATGGTATAAACCCCAGTAAAATTCATAGGAGACTCAAAGTTTTTAAGAGAATTGTAGTAGTAATAACACTGCTTGCTAGCTTGGACTAAAACAGTAAATATGAAAAGAGGCCTTTGGACCTTAGAAGCTCCACAGGGAGGAAGCAGGTTGAGAAAACTACTTAGCTGCAAACACAGGCCATTGCTTATAAACAGACAGAACAAAGAGCCCAGAGGGTATGGCGAAGGGCCGCGGAGAGTCATTCCCACGTTTAGGACTAAGTTGTAATCAAAGAAGTGGCAGCAGGCAGCAGGCTGTATTTCAGAACTGCTAAGGGTTAGTGCCTCCTGTGCACCTCCATTTTCCCTCTGTTCAATGTGAGAATCTTCAGCAGTTCAGGAGAATGTTGGGTGTGTGGGTGGTAGGAAACTTGGCCCTTTAGTTCTTAAGTCTTCATATTAAAAGGAATCATATTCAAGGGCCTATACTCTAGAAACCACAACCCAGGGACGTCATCTCCATCTAGACCTGATAAAGATGGCAAGATCCCACACTTCAAGCCTGAGTCTGATGCCACAATAACTGAGGTATTGGGGTATTGGGTGGGAATGAGTATGTTTTTCAAGTGGGAGGAATATTTAAAAAAGCGTAGCCTAAGTGTATGTTGTGCTGGTTAAAATATATCCGTACATTCTTTATAATTCATCACATAGATAGAAATGTCATCAAGATGGTTGACTGGCGGCACCCATCACTCACCTCCTCCACAGAGAAGGACCAAAACAATGTGTAGATAACTACACCCTGAATAAAGCATCTAAGAGAGATCACTCGAATTCAGCAGGGAAGTGACAGGGACGCTCTGTGGCACAGAAGGAAAGGGAAGCAAAGCAGCTGGCTCAGCCAGGGTCAGCTTAGAGTCAGGACAGATTCTCCATTACGAGGAAAAGGCAGGCAAGAGTTCCCAAGTGGTCACATTCCCACCACAGACACCTGCCATCCTAGCCCACTCTTCATATGTCCTGCGCCTAGTACAGGGAGCTGCCTGGACCCATGTAACTGCATTGGTCCAGGGAGGGAACTGCGTCATGGTGCCATTAGAAGAGCCCAGTCCCCACCCCGGCCGTCTACCTAGAGGGTGCAGCACTGTAACGTCAGCTGGACCCAGTGGTGCGGCTGGATCCCTAGCACTCTATCCCACACAGCACACTACATCCCTGGGAATAGGTCGTCCAGCCCACCAGGGAGGCTGCTCCCAGGACAAAGGAGCCTAAGGACATGATCTCCAGAGCCTGGGAGTCACCTGACCAAGGCCAATGCCACTGACATCAAACCCACCCTCTCCAACAAAGTGGCCACTGCATACCTGTGCACACCTTCAGAGGGCCTGAGGATTGCCCCACCCAACCTGCCACTGTTGGTGCCCATGTGCACCACACAGGGGCCAGAAGACAGGCCCATGCCACCTGCCGCTGCCACCGCCAGTGCCCCCACACACTGTCCAGGGCTCTGAATATCAGCCCACTGCATCCAGGCCCAAGCACCTTCCAGGGTCTGAGAACAGCCCCACCCTATCTGCCACCACTGCCACCAGCATCCATGGTATGGAGGCCTGAGGATCAGCCCACCGTATGTGCTGCTGCTACTACCCGCGTGCACCATCCAAGGGCCTGAGGAGAGTCCCACTGCCTGCAGGCACCTATGTGCGCCATGTGGGGCCTGAAGACAGGCCTGCACCACTGACCACTGCTGAGGGCTCCACATATGCCCACAGAGGGCCTCAAGATAGGCAAGCCCATCCCACCACACTGGGACCCACCTAAGCACACCACACAGGGGCCCAGGGACTGGCTCAGCCAGTACACTACCAACACGCTGCACGTGCTACCCGGGAGCCGAAGGGCTGGCACACTACTGCTACCATTACCACCTGTCCACAAATGCCATCCAGGGGCCACAGGACTAGCCCACTGTTGCTACAACTGGTGTCAACGCACACAATATGGAGGACCAAGGAGCAGCCTGCCCAGGCACCACGCCAACAATGCCAATGCCCACATATACTGCCCAGGGACCCAAAGACCTAAAAGCCAAGCGAGCTGCCACCATCACTAGTACCTGTATGAATCACCCAAGTTCCTGAAGACTGGCCTGTGTGGCTTCCCCATTGCCATCAAAGCCATGGCACAGCCTCCACTAAGAACCACACCCAAAGCCGCTGAGAAACTCACCGACACTGCTGATGTTGATTACACGTGAAAAAATCATATGGAGACTATACTACTGCATCCACACAGAATCAAAGCCAAAGCACCTTACCCAACCAACAATATAGATATTTCTATAGTAAAAAGTCTTTCCCTGTAAAAGCAAATCCCTAAAATTGGAAGAGGTGACTATTATACCAGATGTGCAGATATCAACAAAAGGTCACAAAAAAGAGGAAACAGCAAAGAAACATGACATCTCTAAAGCAACAAATTAATTCTGCAATAACATCTCAAAGGAAATCTATGAAATGCTTGCAAAGGAATTCAAAATAATGATTTTAAGGAAACACAGCAAGATACAAAAGAACACAGGAAAATATTACAAAGAAACAAGGAAAACAATTCATGATCTTAGTAAGAAATTCAATGATCAGATACAAAGCATAAAAACGAACCAAACAGAAATCTTGGAACTGAAAACTCAATGAATGAAATAAAAATGCAATCAAGAACTTCAACAAGACTAGATCAAGCAGAAGAAAGAATTTCAGAACTTGAAGGCAGGTCTCTTGAAATAACCTAGTCAAACAAAAAGAAAAAATAATAAAAAAGAATGAAGAAAGCCTATGTGACCAATGGGATACTATCAAGCAAACAAATAATTGAATTCTGGGAGGTTCCTGAGAGAGATGGGAAAAGGCATAGTAAACCTATTTAATGAAATAATAGCTAAAAAATTTCCAAGTCTTTTAAGAGATATGAACATCCAGATACAAGAAGGTCAAAGATCCCCAAATAGATTCAATCCAAAAAGGTCTTCTCCAAAGCAAAGTATACTTAAACCATCAAAAGTCAAAGACAAAGAGAGCTCTCTAAAAAAAACTTGAGAAAAAAGTAAAGTCACACATAAGGGAATCTCCATCAGTCTAACCACAGATTTCTCAGCAGAAACCTTACAGGCCAAGAGAGAATGGAATGATATATTCATATTCAAAGTGTTGAAAGAAAAAGATTACTAATCAAGAATACTATACCCAGCAAAGCTATCCTTCAAAAATGAAGAAGAAATAAAGTCTTTCCTAGATAAACAAAAATTTATTACCACTAGACTGATCATACAAAAAAGGCTTAAGTGAGTCCTAAATCTGAAAGCAAAAGGATGAGATCTACCATCATGAAAATACACAAAAATACAAAATTCACAGATAGAGCGGATACATAAATGAGAAAGAAAAAGGAATCATACATTTTGACTATAGAAAGCCATGAAATTATAAAGGTAAACAGTAAAAGGAAGGAACACGAGATACAAAAAACAATCAGAAAACAATTTAAAAATGAGAGGAGTAAGTCCTTACCTATCAACAAAAACCTTGAATGTAAATGGGATCAATTCAGTAAGAGGATAAAACAATTGTAAATGTATGTGCGCCCAACAACTGACCACCAAGATATATAAAACAAATATAACAGACACTTACAGAACATTTCTTCAAACTGGTGCAGAACACATATTCTTCCATCAGCACACAGAAGATTCTCCAGAGCAGATCATACATTAGGACACAAAACAAGCCTCAACAAGTTTTTAAAAACAAAAACCATATCAAATATCTTCTCAGACCACAATGGAATAAAACTAGAAATTAGTAACAAGAAGAACTTTGGAAACTGTACAAATACATGGAAATTAGACAACATGCTCCTGAATGACCAATGGGTCAATGAAGAAATTTAGAAGAAAATCAAAAAATTTCTTGAAACAAATGAAAATAGATAAACAACATACCAAAATCTATGAGATACAGAAAAAGCAGTGCTAAGAGGAAAATTTACAGCAGACTTCAAATAATAATAAAAAAAACTAACAAACCTAACCTTCAAATAAACAACCTAATAATGCAATGCACTTAAAGGAACCAAAAAGCAAGAATAAATCAAACTCAAAACTAGCAGAAGGAAACAAATAATGAAGATCAGAGCAGAACTAAAAAAGAGAGAGACTGAAAAAATACAAAAGATCAATTAAATGAAAAGTTGGTTTTTGAAAAGATAAACAAAACTGATAAGCCACTCACTAGACTAAACAAGAAACAAAGAGAGAAGGCCAAATAAATAAAATCAAAAACAAAAAAGGAGATATTACAACTGATACCACAGAAATATAAGGGATCGTTAGAGACTATGATGAACAACTATATACCAAGAAATTGGAAAACCTAGAGGAAATGGATAAATTCCTAGACACATATAACCTCTTAAGATTGAAAAAAAAAAAATAGAAAACATAAACAGACCAATAATAATTAGTGAGAATGAATCAGTAATAAAAAGTTTCCCAACAAGGAAAAGCTCAGGACCAGATGGCTTCACTGCTGAATTCTACCAAACTTTTAAAGAAGAACCAAACACCAGTTCTTCTCAAACCATTTCAAAAAACTGAAGAGGAGGTAATTCTTCCTAATTTGTTGTACAAGGACAGCATTACCCTGATAACAAAATCAGACAAAGACATGTCAAGAAAAGAAAACTAAAGGCCAATATCCCCAATAAACATAGATGCAGAAACCTAAGGATTTATCTCAGGGATCAAGGATGGTTCAATATATGCAAATCAATAAATGTAATACATCACATCAACAGAATGAAGGACAAAAACCATACCATTATCTCAACAGATGCTGAAAAAGCATTTGATATAACTCAACATCCTTCTTGGTAAAAACTCAACAAATTAGGCATAGAAGGAACATTTCTCAACACAATAAAGGCCATATTTGACAAACCCACATCTAACATCAAACTGAAAGAACTCTACAAAAAAAAAAAAAAAACCTACAAAACACTGATAAAAGAAACTGAAGAGTACACAAAAAAATGGAAAGGCATTTCATGCTCACGGATTGCAAAATTAATATTATTAAAATGCTACTCAAAACAATCTACAGATTCAATGCAATCCCTATCAAAAATACCAATGACATTCTTCACAAAAGAAAAAAAAAACATGAAATTCATATGGAACCAAAAAGACCCTGCAGAGCCAAAGTCATCCTGAGCAAAAAGAACAAAGCCGGAGGCATCGCACTACCTAACTTTAAAATATACCACAAAGCTATAGAAATCAAAACAGCATGGTATTAGTATAAAAACACATACCAAACAGAATAGAGAACCCAGAAATGAATCCATGTATTTATGGGCAACTGATTTTCAACAAAGGTACCAAGAACATACACTGGGGAAAGGATACCCTCTCTTCAATAAACAGTGCTGGGAAAACTAGATATGCATGTGCAGAAGAATGAAACTAGATCCCTATCTACCAACATACACAAAAATCAAACTCAAAATGGATTAAAGACTTAAACATAAGACCTAAAACTATAAAACTACTAGAAGAAAACACAGGGGAAATGCTTCAGGACATTGTTCTAGGCAAAGATTTTATAGCTAAGTCTTCAAAGGCACAGGCAAAAAAACAAAAATAGACAAATGGGACTATATTAAACTAAAAACCTCTGCACAGCAAAGGAAACAATCAACAGAGTAAAGAGACAACCTGTAGAATGGGAGAAAATATTTGCAAACTATTCATATGATAAGGGACTAATATCCAGAATATACAAGGAACTCAAACAACTCAACAACAAAAAAATAATCTGATACAAAAGTGAGCAAAGGGTCTGAATATACATTTCTCCAAAGAAGATACACAAACAGCTAATAAGCACATGAAAAGATGCTTAAAGTCATTAATCATTACAAAAACGCAAATCAAAACCACAATGAGGTACCACTTCATACCACTAGGATGGAATCTTTTTTCAACCAAAAAGATGGAGAATAAGTATTGGCAAGGATGTGGAGAAATCAGAACCCTCATACAATGCTGATGGGAATGTAAAATGATGTAGTCGCTTTAGAAAACAGACTGGATGCTCCTCAAAAGGTTAAACATAGAGTTACCATATGACCCAGCTATTCCACTCAAAAGTGTATACCTAAGAGAAATGAAAACACACGCAGACACAAAAACTTGTACATGAAAGTTCATAGCAGCATTATTAACAATAGCCAAAAAGTGGAAAAAACTCAAAGGTCCATCAACTGATGAGTGGATAGATAAAATGTTTGGTATATCCATACAAAGGAATATTGCTTAGCAATAAGAAGAAATTAAGCACTGATACATGCTGTAACACAGATGAACCTTGAAAACATTATGCTAAGTGAAGGAAGCCAGTCACAAAAGACCAGATATGGTGATTCAATCAATCTGAATATCCAGAGTTGGCAAATCTATAGAAACAAAGTAGATTGGTGGTTCCCTAGGGCTGAGTGAGGAAGGGAAAATTGGCGGATGACAATTAAAGAATGTGGAGTTTCTTTTTAGGGTGATGAAACTGTTCTAAAATTGATTGTGGTTATGACTGCACAATCCAGTGACTGTACTAAAAGCCACTGAATTGCATACTTTAAATGTGTGAATTGCATGATATGTTAATTAGGTCTCAATAAAGCTGTTACCAAAAGAATCGATTTGGTACTAGAGATTTTGGATCAGGTGATGGTGTACTGCCATTAGGTCACTGGCCAGGCTTCAAGACATAAGAGAATCAACAGTATACCATTTTATAGAAAAATGATACTGTAAAAAGCTATCCTTTTCATTAGTATCAAGTCCATAAATTAAAAGAAAAATCTTTATTTCATTGCTCAAAGCACTGATTTATATTTTCCAAAATTAAGTGACTTTTTTGGTTCCAAAACTGATTAAAAATTACCTTGTGTTTTAGCTTATTAATCTGGACATCTGTTTCAAATCGACTGGTTTTTAAGTCTCCACAGACACTAAAGTCTCCATTTTCATATTCATTTAACTTCTTTCTTGTCATTTTTAAAAGGTTCTTAAATCTGCAGGAATGTACAGAATGAGTAAGCCAAATTTTTTAAGATTAAATATTTAATAATTGTTTAAACAGATATTATG